ATTACATTTTTAAGCAGGACACCGTGGCCCAAAGGCACACACACACAAAAGAAGATATTGTAAATTGTAATGGCAAAATCGAGCATTGCAATGGGATTCTGTCCACAATGACAGCCTCTCAGCTATACCTACTTTATAGCTGTCCTTGTTGTTGTGTCTATTTCTTCAAGACCAGCTGCGCTTTTCAGCAAAGTTGAAGCGGAAGGGATGGCTTTGATTCATGTTTGATTCATCAACAGGTCCGAGAGTCCGTGGGCTCGAGCGGTGAAGCAGGAAGACTCGCCGAAGACTAGACATGTTCGCCTCTGTAGGCCCTTCGAAGCCGCCAAGTCACGAACGACTCACAAACGTCATGGACTGTTCGAACGACTCACCTGCTTGATCTAAGAAGTGCTCTGGTTCGGAAGGCGTCAACCAGGTGGGCGGGCCCCCAGTGGCTTGCACAGGAGCAGTCTTCATGGAGGTGCTTGGTTTTGCTAGGGAAGCAGCAGATACGGCATGATACGGCTATCCATGTGTGTGAAGGTTACAAACTCGTCAAGGTTGTTATAGTGGTAAATCATGAACTGGAATATGGGAAAAGCCGAGAAAATCCCTGCAGTATCCTGCTACATGTCTTTCATGGCTGCAAAACCTCCAGATGGGTTCATTGTTGTTGAGTTGTAGCGACCATTTGTGAGGATGATGTGTGGCAAGTGACAGCAACGCTTCCAAATGTGAAGAACACCTCTCCATGAGCAACCATGCCGCCGGCCATGCAGACGGTGTGGTGGCCCGGATGGTCGTTGGTTCTTACCCAACGGATCCAAACCCATACTCCACGTAGTTCAGATTTGAACTCATCACAAATCACGACCTAGGACCTACGACATAATGATTAATATATAGTATATATAGTATAAATATAATTACCATATGTCCCAACATTGTGGAGGCTATGTAGGCATTTTATACGTACCATACATGGAGTGTGTGCTTTTCCGGAATGCAGCAAGAAGGCCCCATCTAGTTGAGTTTGTGCAGCAGACTATGCGCTGCCTCACTTCGGTCACTGTATTGTATTCCTTTCTAGGTGGCTGGATCTGACACCCATGCAACATGATTATAATCATGACCAGTCGCTTGAAACGGGATTGGCCAAGGGGACACATTCCGATAGTTTGGGATTGGCCAACATCACCAAACCTTTCTTGTGGTTTACTGTGCTTGCTTTTTTTCTCAGTGTTCCGTCACAGAGGTGCTATTTGCGGATGTTTGTTGAATCCAACGATGGAGAAAGAAGACCTGCTATGCAGACACGACTCTTGTGGAAAAAAACAGAAGACAATACTCTCCGCTTTGAAGGACACTACGTGAGTCAGTCGAGCCCGTGTCCCCGCACGGACGGGCACGGACCGCGGGAGGAACATGCAGAGGTGGGCGACCGCCCCGGAGATGCCGCGAAAACTGGGGGGGAAGCGGGGGGGATCATCAGAAACAAACCCGGTACTGCCAGAAACCCATGGGAGTGGAGTGAGTGGGGACGCCCTGTAGAGGAAAATGATCACTTTGCATGTAACCATGATGATTGCAAGGAGGATAGGTGTCCTACTTGCCCTCCTTGAACGGATCTGGAGGGATCTTCAGGGATGTCTCTTGCAGATATCTACTTCACCGATCCTAAAAATTTTGCTCTTGCACCAGAACTGTCGACGTTCCAAGGGGGAGGGCTCAACTGGTAGGGAGTGAAGTGTATTGTATAGTTGATCGTTGAATGCATATAGCTGTGAGTACCAGCTGCTGGGGGCACAAAAGGGGGCAAGCCTTTCTGGGAGCTTTAAACTGCGGGAGCAGTTTTTATCGTTTCTCCAGCGGTGCTTTGAGCGGGTTTCTCATAGATATTTCATCAACAGTGATTGCCTCAAAATTGTCTCCACCCCTTTGGGGGCCTTTGTGGTCATTCCATACACCCGGGAAGAGACGCACATGGAACTTGATGGCATGCACGTTTGAAATCTTATGAAATCTTTTAAGCGACTATTTTCCTCTACAGATCCAGTGGTTTTCAGGCTTCATGTTAATCTTCCAGGGCGCAATTGATCCTGTTGGCTGCAACCTCCCCCACTTGGCAATGGCGCTCCCCTCGCTAACATTCTTGTGAACCTGTTGTGAACCGGAAATTAGGATATGTTTTCCATTCTTTTCCATACAGTACCAAATTTGGAAGCTGTACCTCGTAACTGTACCTGGGATCCTTGTTAGGTTGAAGTCTCAATCTAAGCTTCAAATACACGTGATGACACTGCTTGTGTGGTTACTTTGGACTGCAATCAAGTTGATGTGGCCATGGGTCAAGGTCGGTTTGGTCGGTCTCCTGTACTTCAGAGTTGGAACCCACACGCGAAGGAGAGCCTTCCAATGTGTTTGGAAGTTCCTTCAACTTCAACAGCTTTCCGGCTTGCGGGAGATGTTTTTGGGTGTCTGGAATTTTCTGTTGCAGCACTTTGCAGCCTATTGTATGGGGTACCATACCATCAGCGCATTTACGGCATAACCAGACCATCGCATGGACTGCAGGATGAGGCCGTGCGGGGTGCTTTGAGAGGAGAACCAGGAGATCTCGGCATGCGTGGGCCGAGTGGGCTGAGTTTTCGATATAACATGATATAACTGTTGTAAACCTTTTCAGTCGGCGGAGAACGGAGGACATGGCCGGTTCCAAGGAGGAAGGTTTGCCGGACGGACCATTCAGGGGTTCAACTGTATGACAAGTGGCACTACAAGTTAATCCTTTCCACCTATTAATAAACACGGCCCCCCCTAATAAGAGAAACTCGGTCGCATTTTTGCTAATAGGGGGTCCTTGAAATCGGGGGGTCCAAAATAGGGTCACCTGGTAAGAGCTTCAAACCAAAAAGTCATCCAGAAAAAAGTTATAAAATCCTTTATTAAACGCGTATCAAAAATTCCAAAAACCTCCAGATCGAAGGGGTCTTCCTTTTCCCCTACAAAAACCATTATTAGAATACTGATTCTTCATTAGAATCATTAGACTAACAACCGTTTGCGTGAGTCCATGCCATTGGAGGAAGGAAAACCTGCTGGTGTAAACGCGGCGTGTCATGGTGGATACACAGGGCGGACAGGTGTGGGCAGTTACGGTTGTTTTTGGAACCTAATAAAAGAAACTACCCCCAAAATCGACCATGTTGGTAGTTTAGTAGCGGTTTGAAAGGGCGGTAATTTAAAAACAAATATAAACCGAATTTAGGGATTCGGACGTTGTGTTTTTAATTGGGGAGTGTTTATTAATAGGTACTCGGGATAAATTACATCTACTTACTATACTGTACTAGATTACTTTGAATCTAGGATGTTCTAGTGTTCTATACTGTACTGTTCTAGGATGTTCTAGTTCTATATATAGGTTATTTTGAATCTATGTTGAATACCAGCAGTCACAGAGCTCGGGGCCGAACTTGGAGGAAGTGCCCAGAACATCCACTCACTGGATGGAACTAAAAACCACCCCGTCTTGTGACTCCTGGTATACATAGTCAATCGACCTCTTGGGATTCCGACTCTGCATGCCGTCGATCGCTATGCTCGCTCTGACTCGGGCAACTTGTTGACACTAGTACCCCGGCCCGTCAAAGACAACTTCGTGGGGTGCAAGTTGCTTCGAAGAGAAGGGGAATCTGCGATGATCGGGCATGTCTGGTTGCTCGATAAGGGCTTTTGAAACTATTGGATGTTAGGAAATGATTGACTGTTCACTTCAGGTGTCGCTCAAGTTCAGTGTCCAGGGCCTTTGAAGACAAACATAATGGGTGTGCATGTGTTTTAGGAGGTCAAGTTGACCCAACATCATAGTGAAGGAACGTAATGTTTTTGTCATAATCTGCAGTGATGTTCACAAGGTACCAATCATTGTGACCGACGAAGAACACCAGGTCTAGGCCTGGAAGACTTCGCACCATCGCTGCTGGTAGTACCTCGGAACTGGATGTGCGCCTCGGCTCGACCTTTTTTGATCATCTCCACTTGGATGAACTCAGATTGAGCTTCTATACCCTAGGGCTTCAACCACCTCCTCAGAAGGTGGTTGGGGTGGATTTGGGGGGGTCTAACCACCTTCTGAGGATATGGTTGGAGCCTAGGCATAGGTACATGTTGAAAACCCTGTGGAGAACTTGTGGAAAATGTTTTTGGCGCCACTGTTCTTCCTCGCTACGCCTCGGGATCGAGGGGCACCCCTTCTGACTAACAATGTGTGGAGCTGTGTCCTTCAACGGTGACACCCAAACCGTGGAGCTGTGTCCATCACGGGTGTGTGTGTGTGTGTGTGTCGGGAGGTTCCAGCCGGTGAAACACATGCGCCACATGCCGCTCCGATCGCCACAGGAGCAAGCCCTGCGGAGGCGTCGGTTGAAGTGAAGAGGGATTGGGGTGGGCAAGTCAGTCGTTGATGACTCTGACAAGGAAGATGAATTTGGTAGCTGTTCTTTAAGGCGCACCCTTCTAAGGTGCTTTCGGGACAAAACAAGTGGTTCGGGCTCGGAAGAATTGTTTTTTCTCCTACATAGCCCTTATCAAGTATATATAGACTATATAGAGGTTATCTACTGATCAACACTCAGATGTTTTGAGGGCCACCCTCGTTGGCCAACACGGACAACATCTTGCGCAACCCCAGATACTTGTACCCATGTTTTGCTGTAAAGGGTCAAAATAGCATGCCTTTACTCAACAGTTGGTTCCCTATAGGTTTGCTATGGTTTCGGGATCCCCCTGCGAAGACCTGGGTGTATAGACCTAGGATGTTTTCGACATGTTGCGATTAATCTGAAAAAAAAACATTGAAAGAGAACACGTGGTTGACCAATCTCAAAGTGTTTCAAACAACAATTGATCATTTAATTACAGAATAAGTTAGCCTTATTGCGGGATGTTTCTCACGCTGCGCATCAAAGAAAAGGCTCCTTGACGGTCCATTGGCTCCCCGACCGAGCGCACGGCAGGTGGGTTGCGCGATGCTGTGCCGAGCGCTGCACCGTGCACAGCAGAAGTTGGACGTGGAGCACCGCTCCGCGACCGGGATCTGGTGCGCAACGCGACTGGGTGCGACCGGAGAGTTCAGGAACGCGTGAGTGAACGCGTGCCACGGAGGGCTTTCGGGGAAACACACACAAGGTGGAAGTGCAGAGTTTAAAGTTTATAGATGATGCTTGAGGTTTGGAGGTATGTTTGTTAGACAGAGAACTTGGACGATGTACTTGCTCGAATGAAGAAAAACACATAGACTTCAGGTCAACCCCACGGATTTGTTTTAAGATGTTTTCAGGAAATCCATCTTGCCAGGGGCTTGTAGATGTTGCCGTAGATGAGGAGGGGTCAGAATGGTATCGGTATGTCCGTTGTCCGTCCGTCTCAACCCCAAAGCAATTCGCTTCGCTTGGGACCAGAAATCACCAGTCTTCCAGCTCTCTCCGAGACTCTCTCCGCTCCTTTCCGGGAGATTCATCCGTTGTACAGTTGAATGACAGAACTGGAGGACATGGGGACTATATTCAACTGGGTGGTCGTTTCAGATCTGTTATTCTAGTCTTTATTCTCAACCTTTACTTTGGATATTTTGTTCACCCACTGACTTATACTGTTTGACATGCAGTTGGCCATCTCCAGTCTTGCAGAGCTGACTGAGCGAGTTCGCAGGGGTCAGATAATTCTTTATATATTGGCTCGGGACGCCACGCCTGGGAGGTCTCCCTGTTTGAGCTAGACACCCATATGACTGAGTTCACTCATATACCACAGTCACATCTGTGAAAACATCTGAGCAGTGCGTTGGAAACGTTGAAAGATCGGACCAAATCTGAGCAGATTGTTTCGTCGAAAGATCACCTCCTTAGAACAATCCCTAAGCAACACAGAATGGCGAGAAGTCCAGGGATTGTTCAAACTTCTCATCTTGTTAAACTGTACAGAATCCCTGGTTCACCTGGACCTGGATGGCTTGATGAAGAAAATGACCACAGGTTAACTTGCTTGTTCCCATGTGGCCAGGCCTTTGTAATTCCAACGTCCTTGTGACTTGTGAGGTGTGAAAACCTTAAGAGGGGCAGGAGGAGTTAGAATCTAAACCAAAGATTATGATCACAAGACCCCAATGCTGCCTTTCACCCACCAATCCTAGTGGGTCATCCAATGGATCAACCTGTCCGGATTGTTTCGTGACCGAAACAGGTGTGCCCCATTATCACTTTTCAACGACGCTGCACAGAAGCGAGCCTGTGCAGGCCACGATTCCGGGCGGAATGGGACTTGATCAGTGCAATCTCTGGAAGTCCCAGGCTAAAGACGGTTTCGGTGGAATTGATTCATGAACAATTTACCTTGTTTTGGTGCAAAATAAGCGGACAAGCTGGGTTGAGCCCCACATTTCTCGGCACCTAGTTGGCGCAAAAGTTTAGATGGGGACTGCACTGACCACCGGCGAGCACATTTTCTACACATCAGCACATCCCCTTCAATGCGCAAAGCATGCTGTTCTGGTCGTTCATGCGAAAGCCGACTCAAGTCTGCAACGACTTGCTCAGCCAATTTCCGGCAAGCTGGCCGACAAAGCCTTCGGGAATGCGTATCATGGCCCTTGACGGCTGGTTCCTCAGGTGGCTGGCATAGCTTACGGCTCACCCCTGGACAAGGCGCAAGGACAATCGGAGTCACCTCCTTCCACGACTGACGGAATTTCACAGACTGTTGGCAGTTAGCACATTTAACGGTCCATTTTGTCGCATGCCATCTATGGCCAGTCCACAAGAAATCAGGATCACAAGGCAACGCTGACAAAAAATTAACCATAGTGCGCCCTCCCGGCCCTTTCCCAACCCCAACTTCCCAGCGCTTCCTTTTAGGAAGGTGGGGAGCCATATCAAGTTTGAGGGGTTTCATGGGATGGCCTCCAGGGCGTGCGCCTAACATAGCAGCCACACGGACACATACGAACTCAAAAACTTTTTTAGCAAAAGCATCGCATTTTGCAAGCGCCTCACATCGAGTTGGGTCATACAAACCCTCTACCTGTGCATGGGCCTCAGCCTGCACCTGTGATAGCAACCGGGGGTAGGATTGAGTCTGGGGCATCTGCAAAAGGTCTTTAGATTTATCCTTAAAACAAGGAATGATCCTAAGTCGCGCTAGTCTCTGCTTATCATCCAGCAATCCCCAAAGATCCTGATGCGTCGGGTGAGACTGGTTGTCCCATCCGTTGCATACAGATTTATGTGAAAGAACCACTTTGGCAACACCTCGCGTGAAGGACAACAACTTCAGCAAACCAGCCAAATGCGCTCGCAGAAGAGTCTGTTGGCCTGAAGGGCTCCCTGTCACAGAGCCTAGCCAGGAGGGAGTGGGAAACGAAAAATCAAAGGCTGCGAAGGCAAAGCAGGCTACGCGTGCTCTTCTGTCGGAGACTTGCGCGCAGCTTGCACTGAGTACGATGACAATTTGAGACCCAACACTTAAGGTTTCCAATTGCTCCCAACACCCTTTCCCCTGTAAAGCAACCTCCTCACCCCTCAATGGGGGTGGGGGAAGCATGGTGCAAGGCACGATGGCGCGAACCCACAAGCTCTGTTGATTGGGGTCATTCCACGGTCCAACCCAATCAGGGGGCACTGGTGGCAGGTTTTGGTCTGCAAACCACGCGCATTCCCACAAAACATGCTGAATGGTCGCTTCACACTTGCACCTGGAACATTGCAACGGGCCCCCATTATGCGATGTGCGGAGAGTCCCTTGTATGCGTATCATCAAGAGCACAAGGATGCGTAGAAAAGTGAGCGCAAAAAAATGAACAATTTACCTGGCCAGGAAAAGGGGATCACCCAAACCTGTTTTGGAGATGGGTGTTCGATTCCCCACTTTCCGATTTTAAGGTCAACCTAATATATGTTTTTTGAAGGCCAAACGTCGAACGATGAGTCAGCAAAGGATCTTGACGACCATCCCCGATCTGTCCAACCCACGAGGTTGGTCCATGTTCTCCCGTTTGGGCTCCTGGCCCACACCCTCAGGTTCGGTGGTTGGGGTGGGTGCGAGGGGGGTCTAGCCACCGAACCTGAGGATATGGGACAGGAGCCCTCAGGAGCCCGAGTCGAGGGAATCGACGCTCTGATCTTGGGCGTTTGAAAGTGAGCAGCTGTATAGAGTGTGCGTGTGTGCGTCCCAGAAGAAAACCAAAAGTTAAGTTTTCAAGGTTTTGCCCGTTTGGGTGTATCCCATCACCGGCAATCGGTAAAGGGTGATGACCTCTTTTGGGGAAAGGTAATTTGTATTTCACAGAGTGTTTTGCTTCCTAGGAATCCTTGGATGACCCTCCATAGCAAGGGTCGCGACCCGAAGCAAACCCTTCCCATGTGACGCGCATTCTTCGGGTTCCACCAAAGAAAGGGGGTCAATCTCAACTTCAGCACCTTAAAAAGCTCAGCACTTCCTGCATCTTCTGTTTCCCCCAAAAGCAGCTGCCTGGACGTTCGCGACCGTTTCCCCCAGACGGTGTTCACGACTGGGCGATCCTCACTGTGCTCAAGGCCGAGCGGGTCTGACCAGTCGGGTCCAGTCAGGGGGATACATTCCTTTAGTATTTTAGTTTGAGAAAGCAGGTGAATGCAATGTGGTTCGAACTACTACTGCTACTACTACTACTGCTAATTGCTGCTACTGCTACTACTACTACTACTACTGCTACTACTACTACTGCTAATTGCTGCTACTGCTACTACTACTACTACTACTACTACTACTACTACTCCTCCTGCTGCTGCTGCTGCTGCTGCTTCTACTGTTGCTACTGCTACAAACTACTTTTTTGGTTATTTGGATGTCGTTTGTGTTGTGAAGCTGGGAGATGATTATATGTTCCTGGGCTTCCATTCCTGCAAAGCTGCAGAAGGGGGTTGATGTGTCTATCAGCAAAGCACTTGGAAAGCTTGAGTGCATCATGTTTCCCAGAGAATACCCAAAGGTCTTGAGTGGAACAATCCCATTCAAAACTGGCCGCAGACCACCAATCGACTCCTGCAAGTGTTTGAGGTCAAATCCGATCGATGGAAAGTGGAACTGGTCAGTTGTCCTTCTGGGCCATGGTGTTTGGTGGAATATCCTGAGGTCCTTGTTACGAGGGGTCAACGGGGCAACCCGTTGGCAAACGGTCAAAATTCATCCTGGGTGGCCAAGCTCACGGTGGACAAGACCGTCGGTTCCTCCCTATAGCACGTGCGGTGATTGTCCATAAGCCAAAAAAATATCATACCAAACAACCAAGAATATTACATAGACTTGTATATTGGAACAGAAATACATATATATGGTGTAATGCCCTCATAACTAAGCACAGAACCTATCACTTTTCACCGTAGCATCGGGCTCATCAAGGTGGGTTTGGTGAATGGATGGGAGGGGGCCGGCCCGGCCCCCTCCCAATTTGTGAGAGGTGTCAACACTTCGTGGTGCGTGACAAGGGGTTGAGCGTTTGTGCCCCTTGTCGCAAATCCTATCAGCTGCAGGTGTCTGTGAAGGGTGTGGTGAGCTCGGAGAAGGACGAGTCCGCCGTGGTCTTCTACCAGGGCTGCTTCGCCTTGCTCGAGGACTGGTTGAAGACAATCAAGGATCTGGAAGCCAAAGACACCCCCACAGGATCTGGCAGCTCAGCATCACGACAGAGAAGCCCGAGTACAGCAGAGCACCGAAGTAAGCCCCAACCAAAAGAGAGGAGAGAAGATACAGCCGAGGAAAAGAAGACAGTTCGACGAGAAAGCACAGCTCCAGCTAAAGCACCGCCAGTTCAGCCGAGTTCGCATTCACGACCTGCATTGTCTGTTGAAGGGAGGTCTTCACAACAGTCCACCTCCCAGACTCGAGTGGTACCTCGACCAAGTCAACCGCCTCGTGGAGCTCTACGTGACAGATCTCCCGAGCTTGGACTCTTTGCAAAGAAGAAGGCGGAGCCCAAGAAGAAGTCGGTATCGCCCTTAAAGGAAGCCAGAGGAGAGGAGAATAGCCCCAGAGGGGAGTTGCAGAGGACTCCCAAGTGCAAGGAGGAGGTTGCAGAAGAAGAGAAGAGCCCCAGAGGGGAGTTGAAGAGAACTCCCAAGCCCGCCGAGAAGAAGAAGACAGAGAGGAGCCGGAGTTCCACAAGCAGCTCATCCCGGAGGAGGCGGAAGAAAGAGAAGAAGCGAAGAGAAAAGGAGAAGAAGGACAAGAAGAAGAGGAAAAGGTCTACCAGCATGGGGAGCTCCGTGAGTGATTCCCGTGTCAGAGCAGCCAAGAAGAAGGAGTTGAAGCGGCTGCCTACTCCTCCGAGGCCAAAAAGTCCGCATACGCCTCCTGGACCACCTCCAGATCCGCCACCAGCTCCTGCTCGAAAGGAGCCTGCCCGGAGGGAAACTGCTCGGAGAGACAGTCGGCCTCCGATCGCGCGTGGTCGTGGACGGGGGTGGATCGGCCCCATTCCCTGGAGCTCCCATCCTCGGTGGTACACGGGGAAGAATAAGGGCATCACCCGAAGAGCCAAGCAGGAGAAATTCAACAACAGGTGGTGGTGATGGCCGTCCGTCGACGCCCCGCGGCAAGGGCACCGGCTTTGAGAAGGAGGCCATCGGTAAAGGAGGTTGAGGAGCTAAAGACAGACAAGTTCACCTATCTGCTTGAGCTCACGGCTGCACAGCTTCGCTGTCTAGGCTTGGTCGAACTTGCCTACGGTTACTACTATGATGGTTTGGTCAAGGTGGCCGGGTATATCACAGGCTTGGGTCGTGATCCGGACTACCTGGAGTTCAAGGTGACCGGCACCCAGACAGAGAGGATGGTTGACATGTGGAGCGACCCGGCCCGTAGGGTGATGCAGCTGCATATCTGCCCCCCATTCGCCTACGGGGCCCGACATCTTGCATGCCGGAGGTTTTTGGGAGGTGAACGAAAGGAGACAACCCTGGCATACTCTCTTCGAGAAGTCGGAGGTGGTGGCTGAGGAGAAGGATGAGATGGCGAAGTTGAGGGAGCACTACGAGGCTCGAGGAGGCTTGGTGGCAAGGGAGAAGAGGTCTCCCAGTGCAGAGGACGAGAAAGACAGAAAAAAGAAAAAAGAAGAAGAAGAAAGAAAAGGAAAAAGAGAAGAAGCCAGAGAAGGCCCGTTCGGAGAAAGGTGAGACGGATGAGGAGATGGGGCAGGAGAAAGGCCAAAAGAGTTTGAGGAGCCTTTTCAGTGGGACCTGTCTGGATCCACGAGTGGAGGAGCGAGCAAAGCTGCTGAGGAGGGCCCGCCGGCTGGGCAAGAAGGAAGGCAAGAAGAGCGCTCGTCCAGTGAGGAGACATCGTCTGAGAGTTCGACCTCTGAGGATGAAGAGCTCGTGGAGACGCGCGAAGGCCTGTTCGCTGAGAAAAAGAGGGCATTGCGGCTACCCCGGAAGCCTGGGGGCCCAGACGATCGCGGGAATGAAGGAGTCTTTGATGACCAATAGCGGCACGCTGCACTCTTTGGACCGCAAGTCACTGCCCCCGCTCTATACGCAGTATTACCGCAATGAGCTGCACTCCATGGTGTCCCCCTCAATGGGACAAGAGCTGCTAACAATCAGCCAGACGGCTGATTTGCTGCTTCGCGGTCATGCGGCACGCGCCGTCGACCTCCTCTCCCAGCGCTTCAAAGCCCTGGAACAACAGGCTCGTGGAGCGCATTGGAGTGTCGCGCGCCAGCTGGAGCTGGTGTCAGCAGACGCGGTCGGGCTCTCCCAAGGAGCTGAAGGTGCAGAAGCAGCCAGGTTGGCTCGAGAAGAGGCTCAAAACCGCAGCGCAGTTCAGCGGCCGGGGGCAAAGATGGAGGAAAAGCAAAGGGCAGATCTGATCCACCTGAGGGGCGAGGCGAGAGAAAGGAGACAGAGGAGGAAAGGGAAAAGGGAAAGGAAAGAAAAAAGATAAGCAATGATGAGTGCAAGAAAGGAATCAATAAGCCCCAGGTGGATGCAGGATCATGACGAGAGTTGGTCGAGGTCAGATGAGGGCGTGAATACATTGGTTGAGCAAGGTGCATTGGAGGGGGCTGAAGAGTTGTGCATTGATCGGCTGTTGAGAGAAAGTGAGAAGAGAGGTTTAGAGCAGAGGAAAGGTTGGGCAAAAAGACAATGTGGAACGAACGGCAACGATCGCACGTCGCGATTGCTGCAACAAGAGGAAGAGGCCCCTTCCGCTGGCTTGGGCATAGAGGCCGTGAGGGCCCCGCTGGAACCACAGGAAGGGGAGCAGAAATTCTCCATCCAACCTCAGGTGGGCTCCCAGTGCAACAATCCAGTTGAAACGCATTGGAAGCCATCATCGCCAGGAGGTTAATCCCGTCCCCCTAATAATAAACACGGCCCCCCCCCCCCTATTAAAAAAACCTCGGTCGCATTTTTTTTAATAGGGGGTCCCTGAAATCGGGGGGTTCAAAATAGGCTCAGTGGATGTGCACTAGTTTGTTGACCGTGAACTGCAGATTTCGTGGCAGGTGCAGTACTTTGCTGACCTTGAAGTGCAGATTTCGTGGCAGATGCAGTACTTTGCTGACCTTGAAGTGCAGATTTCGTGGCAGGTGCAGTACTCTGTTGACA